TGTAATCAATGCTGCTAAATGCGAGTTTGGAGTCCCCAGCCTTATCTTCCTTGGTCACGAAGTGAACTCAGATGGCATAAAGCCCGTGCCGGAAAAAGTTTCGGCCATATCAACGTTCCCCGTCCCGACAACCATCAGCCAACTACGCCGATTCTTGGGGATGGTGAACTACTATCACCGTTTTCTTCCCCATGGTGCCACCATACTGCAGCCTCTCAACAGCTTGCTGACCCACTCCAAGAAGACACTAGTGATGACCGAGGAGGCCGTCAGGTCCTTCAATGACGTCAAGGCCGCACTTGCGGACGCAACATTGCTTGCCCATCCTCGCTCAGATGCCCAACTAACTCTCATGACAGATGCTTCCAGCACTGCCGTTGGTGCGTCACTTCAGCAAACTGTTCGTGGTGTTCTACAGCCTTTGGCTTTCTTCTCGAAGAAGCTCAGCCCAGCAGAGACCCGCTACAGTGTCTTCGGCCGAGAACTCCTTGCCGTCTATCTATCCATCCGGCACTTCCGCCATTTCCTTGAGGGTCGTGAATTTGTTGTTCTCACAGATCACAAGCCACTCGTTTTCGCACCGAGGGCCTCTCCCGATCGATACTCGCCCCGTGAAATCCGTCATCTCGACTTCATCTCACAGTTTTCCTGCGACATCCAACATGTCCACGGTAAGGAAAATGTGGTTGCTGATGCTCTTTCAAGAATCGAGATGGCTTCCATCACAACAGACGCCATAGACTTCACGCTCATGGCTGAGGCTCAACACTCGGATGGCGAACTTCCCCAATACCGCCACGAGGACTCTTCTTTACGCCTTCAAGATGTCCCCCTCCCCACTGGCACTGGCACCATCACGTGCGACCTTTCTACCGGACACGAACGTCCTTTTGTTCCAGCAACTTTACGACGACAAGTGTTCAACGCTCTTCACAATCTATCCCACCCTGGAGTCCGGGCGACAGTGAAACTCATCACTGACCGATTCGTCTGGCCCAACATCAACCGGGATGTACGGCGTTGGACCCGCTCCTGTCTACCATGTCAACGATCCAAAACGCATCGGCATACTATTACTCCGCCAGGAACTTTCGCCACCCCTGATGCACGCTTCAGTCATGTGCATATTGACCTGGTAGGTCCGCTGCCACCATCTAACGGTTCTACCTATATGCTGACATGTATTGATCGCTTTACTCGGTGGCCAGTTGCTGCGCCCATTCCGGACATCAGTGCCGAAACCGTAGCCAGAGCTTTCTTGACTCATTGGGTGTCCAATTTTGGAGTTCCTGCGACTGTCACCACTGACCGCGGATCCCAATTCGAGTCCACGCTGTTTCGTGAACTCACATCCCTTCTCGGTACCAACCGAATTCGAACAACAGCGTACCACCCTCAAGCAAATGGTCTCGTCGAACGATTCCATCGACAGCTCAAAACTTCCCTTATGGCCCAGCCCAATCCTTCCCGATGGTCGGATCACCTTCCCCTGGTGCTGTTGTCCCTCCGTTCCACTCTCAAGGCCGACATCGGTTGCACTGCGGCTGATCCTGTCTACGGAACCTCCCTACGACTGCCCGGTGAGTTAGTTTCTCCCTCAAACATGCTAACGTTTTTTGAACCTTGCAGTTATGTGGAGCAGCTGCGTAGTGTCATGCGCAATCTCCGCGCAACGCCCCCTCGGGCGTCACCGGTCAATTCCTTCATCCCTCTCGACCTAGATAAGTGCAATTTCGTCTTGGTTCGGCATGACGCTGTCCGACGACCACTCCAACCACCCTATGACGGGCCGTATAAAGTCCTTCGTCGATCTGACAAAGATGTTGTCATCGACCGCAACGGCAAGACCGACACAGTCAGCATTGATCGCGTCAAGCCGGCGTTCATCGACGACAGTGACCATTCCTCACCCCAACACTGTACCCCGCCGCAAACAGTGCTGCCTCCACCTACTGGCGACAGCCCCCCTCCGGTTCGCCGCACACGATCTGGTCGTCACGTCCACTGGCCCGACAGGTTTATTGCTGGCTAGCATGTCGACGCCTTCACTCCGTTTGGTGTCTGGGGGGAGTTGTAGCAGCCGCTCCAGTTCTCCTTTTCTCCGGCTCCGTTTTGTCGGTCGATGGCCGCGACAATCGTTGCCAGGCCGTTGACACACAACCACCCCCGCCGATTATAACTGGGCCCCCCTCCTGTCCAGCTGCAGTGACCCCCGGCTGCCCCCAAAAACAATTATCACCTCATGCGCGTCGGACGACCTGGCTTGATACCCCTGAGCCCCTGTAATTATCCTTCCCCCTAATCCTCCCCTAATCTGCCCAATCTCATGACCAGCATCCAACCAGTCACCCCCACCTACTGACACAGACTTTCACTCTCGCGTAAACTACACACCGCGACTGACGCTCTCCGTGAACGGACGCTTATCTCTGTTGCAAGCAAATCGCCAACTTACGGCAACCTGCCCTGTGTACAGAATAAACTAGTCCTCACAGCTCCCTGACTTCTGACAGTAGACGAAACGAACTTATTGTGCGTGGTTTAAGTCGATCTCACATCCTTGACCGCCACAAGGGCAACGGGCTCGTGGCCCGGTGAGTAGAGGCGTTGACTTCTAAACCAACAGGTCGCGAGTTCGAGGCTCGGGTGTTCCACACTTCGGGCTTGGGTATGGCTGGCTGACGACGGCTAATAAGCCAGAAATGGCCATTCCAGTCTCCCTTGTCTTTGTCGGTAATATCATTCTGCCTATATATCATGCGCCGCTGTGCGGCTGCTGGTTGGGCTCGAGAGAGAGCCCTTAACGCACAACGGAACGAGTGAGTTCCGTATCAGCGATCGGTGAGCGCCCCCAAACACTATATATATATATATATATATATATATATATATATATATGGTAGGGGAGCGCTCACCGATCGTTCTTACGGAACCTACTCGTTCTAGTCTCCCTGTTCTATGTTGCTCATGAAATTCTGCCTATATCCTACGTCGCTGTGCGTCTTCGGTTGGGCTCGAGACGGAGTCCGCTAAACACAAATTAACGAATGAGTTCCGCAAGAACGATCGGTGAGCGTCCCTTTACCATTTATATATTTGTATATATTTCGCATGAATTTTAATCGCGATGTTTTGCTAGAAGCTAGACTGTGGGAAAAGTGTGCGATTCGCGAAAGTCTCACGCGAGTACAGTTATCGTTTTGACACAAATGCCGAAGCAGTATGATTTTGCCAAAATCTGTCCAAATAAAAACAAGGCAAAATCGATTTTTTCGGCATGTTTAAATGTTGACTATTTTGCACACTTCCTTCACGTCTGAAGACGACTTGGTGAACCAAGATCGAAAATTTACAATAAAACTTGTTAATCTTTCCCAAAGAGCTTATTTCTTTCGAAGTTGTATATATATACGATGGTTCTTTCGCGAAGTGGTGAAAAAGGCTGTTCAGAAAGGATGGAGAAAGTAGACGACTACCAAGATAAAGGTGCGACCTTAGAAACAAACAGTTTAGTTGATAGGCCATATCGGCCGGCAGGTTTTTAAAAGGGAAGGTTGATTTGAAAGCGAAGAGGAGAGACCTCGAAGGTGAAGGAGGCGAATGGATGAGTAACTAAGACAGAATTGTGGATGTTAAAACACGCATTTCAACAACAAAGGTGTATTGCAAGGAAGATTTGGCGTAACACAAATAAGATATTGACACAGAGGACAGTTCCAAGACTCTCAAACCATGAGGTTTCTAGTTCATTTAACTGGCACATGTACAAAGAAGAAATAATTGGAGGTGTTTGCGCAAGGTTTTCTTAGGAATGCACCAAAGCTGAGGCAGCCAGATTCGTTCACTGAGCAGAAGACGTTGCCAAAATTCGAGAAAAGATGAGTCTTAATCTAATTTCAGAAAGATGCAAATTACAAAGTATATCATCGATGTCTATTGTGTGTTTCACAGCAAGGTGGAGCAGGGACGGTGACTTGTGCGTGAAGTAGTTTATAGTGAATGTAGACTTGCAAAGCATCTACCGCACTCTCTCCTGCCCCACCTGAACCTGGTGTTAGGACAAAGTCAAAAAGACTAGAGGCCGGGGAGGACACTGGTGGGTAGTACAGTCGAGCTCACACCTTGGCGTTCCACTCCACACCCCTGGTCCACACTGCAACTAACCAAGATTTTAGCCAACAAAAAAGGTTGGCTGGCACGTCCAAAGCCGCACCTAGGCGTGCCATCACATCTGGCTCGGGATCCACAGAGTGAGAGTGCCATAAAGACCACATTAAGTAGTGATTGCGGCCTGACCAGCCGGGCGCTCCAGACAACACTGGGCCGACTGTGAGGCCTTAGTTATCCCGTCGGTTGGCAACCTTCCGAGCCACGGCTCTTAGTGCATCCTACTAGTTTTAAGCGCGTAAGAGTGTTATGACAGTGGGCGCTCGCCGATCAGGTTACGGAACATGCTCGTTCCGATGTGCCTTGGGACTCATACTAGAACCCTCGCAGGCAGTCGCACAGCGACTAGTAGTAGACATAGATGAGATGGAGCCGACAAAGACAAGGGAGATTCCGGTCTCCCTTGTCGTTGTCGGCTCCATCTCATCTGCGCTAGTGTTTATAGTGAGGAAAATGCGCTGACTCGTTGACCTCACTCTCCGTTCCCATTCCTAGGCCTCAGTCACCGTCCGGCCGGCAAGTAGACAGGTGTGAGGAATGGGTGCACACTGAGGACAACAAACGTATAAACGTCATGCAGTCCACTAGTGATAGTGAACACGAACTCAGCGACACTAGGATAAATTGCGAGCGCTAATAATGCGGCCTGCTACAAATACCTTGACAATAATAAAGTAACTCAAGAACGTGAGGGCAAATTCTGGCCAGTCAGCTTGGCTAAAAATGATTTTATCCACTTCAGTTAATCTAAGCATAAAGAAGGGTGAAAAATGTTCGGAACGGTCTTGCAAACTAGGGTTTTCACGACAAAGTTCTGGACGTTGCAACGGGAGACAATCTGCAAGACTGACTAACATATACGGTGAGGGGAGAGGGTCGCCAAATAGCATTCACTTTAATACCGGAGATAAAGCAACGCTATGCCATTAGAGATGCTTTTCTCTAGCTGACGGTCTCACAGTATCGGAACAACAGGAATTGAATTACAGAACGAAGAGTTCATCGATGTAGCCTGGCTTTAGGACGCAATCAGACGTCCTACCTTGTTTCGGGTTAGGGTTTTTATTCCTCATATGCGACTGCATGGCAATAGGCAATTAAGATAGATGGTTGACACCTCCGTGTGTTCAAAGCCACGGCGGACAGAGCGTAAACCCCTGGCTGTATGATCATCCGAACTCGAATTCCAAATTGCAGTCCTTCTGGCCAGGAGCGTGGCCAGTGGACTATGGCACACCCCTTTCCATTGTTTTTCCCTGAAGCATCTATCAAGAATAAGAAGTGACCTCGACAAACAAGGAAAAGACGTCTCATTTTTATCAACTGTACTTTAAGGAAGTCGCCGATAGAAAAGGATTTCACATGGGCACTTTCAGAGTGTGCCATATAAAAAAACTCTAAAGGAGTCTGTAAAAATAGGACCAGACATCAAGATTTGCCAGGCCTTGCGTCTTCAACGAGAGGTAACAAGGGATGGGAAAATCAGTCTGAGGACAGAATCCGACCAGGTATTTTCTGTGGTAGTGGATGGACGAAGAAGGAGACTGCTTCATCCGAAAGACAGTAGAATGAACTATGCCGCATGATGCATAGACAGTGACGTGATGCCCTAGAGACAATCTCGGCAGAGAGCCCACTGACCGGGTAGGGCGTCACGACAGGGACAGATGCGACGCACGGTCAGATTAGCAGAAATTTCTCCCGGTGCCTCGCAGTCGAATAACAGATCATTGGCTTGAATGTAGCATGCCTTCCCCGATGTTGAGAGAGCTGGCAGGGCCAGATGCGAACGCATAAAAATTTGATGACACGGTAAATTGAGACGACGGAGGCTGACATGGTCATTAAAGGTCGGGAAATGCTCGGGACAGCAAACAAAACGAGAAGAAGGATTAGAGTGGTTGAGGTGGGAATGGCAAGTGGCTGAACAGGAGGCCCCCGGCTTTCCCAACAGTATTATCAAGCTACTGCTCATCGGAGGCCACCGAGCAGCCGGAAGAATAGAGACTACGCCAGCCTTTGGGGAGTTGGTGATTGCGGTCACGTTAACATGAAGGTCATCTGCAGGGCTGGAAGTAAAATGAGAGAGCGGGGGCAGTTCGGGGCAAAAGTTCTGGTGAGTCAAGTATGCGTGAAGTCTCTCCATCATACCCGCAGTAGTAAACTCGAAAGGAACATAAGCCGGCGGCTAAAACGTAACATAGCATTTCATAAAAAAACAGCGCATACCAAAAGAAACAGATATAACGAAATAGATCGTCATGTACCGACAAAAAACGTCAATCTGGCAAACAGCACTCCCATCCACCTAAAAAAAGTTATTCCACATGGCGGGCGACTTTTTGCCGAAGAGGCAGCAGACAATTGAATCTGGCCAAAACAAGATTTGACAATAATGAGATGGCCTGCTTCCGATAAGCACATGAAGGCAGTGCTTCATCATTTGCTCAGGCATGCAGGATGTGAAACGCAATGTACCTCAAGCGCACTTGCCAAGAAATCTTACTGATTAACTCTTTAATTGCAGGAATCAGATAGCTAGCCAAATTAACATGGAGGCAAACGCTGACCGAAACGCGCATTTGCCCTTATTACCGAGTAGAGCATTAACTATCTGAAAGCAATGCAATATATATTGAAGACCAGAGTTTCATCACGGGTGCCATAGAATAAAAAGGTTCAGTCACCTTTACTGCTACTGAACAACTTAACTTATTCGCTGTCTCATTCAATGTGTCCCTCGTCTGCGCAGGGAAGGGTGAAAAAAGGGAAAAGAGTATTCAGATACATGCGTCCGCACACTGGTGACTGTCGACAGGACGAGAGCTGGCCGCAGTCGATCATGGGGTTTACCGACTGCAGCCC